TATTCAGGATTAGTCGTAACGGGTCGTATGCCGAATCTGTGATAAAATTCATGAAACCGAACTACTTTTCCAGAGAAGCAACTATCGAAATCATTTTTAAACTTTTCTTAGAAATCCTTACTTACTAAGAAAAGTTCAAAAATTACAATTAAATAATGAATTACTCTCAAATTCAGAAATCATACCAGAGGGAGACTGTACAAAAGTCATTGTTTGAGCACCTCTATCCCAATCGTGTTTCTACCGTGAATCAGTTGTGTTTACATGATTGTGTTTCGGTTTGAAGAGTGGGATATACAGGGTTTTCAGTGAATTTACAGGATATGGCAACATATGGGGGGTATCATAGGCAAAACAGTATGTTATGTAAATGGTACTGTTCATATCTATAGGCGACGATTACCACTTTCCATAAGGTGGGCCGATAGCTTGTTTGCCATTCTAAGTTGCATAAAAAAATCAAACACTACACGTGTTACAAGTAATTCATCATTGCTTCTTAACACGTGTAGAGTGTTTATACTACGCATGCTGTGATACTTGTGTAAATATTTTTTTCACAATCGATATCGGAGATAAAGATTGCAAAATTTTAAAATATTTCTATTTGATGATATCTTAGCAGACGGAGATTTGATCGAGACTGAACTGTGATCGGTATTATTGTGTTTTAATGTTCTTAGGCTAAGAGTAGTATTACGAAGCGGTCGACTGTGATGAGATGGTAAATGATGTAGACACAGATTTTAGCAGAGAAAAATGTATTAAAGATCATATTGACTTAAGTATTATTACGAATCGTTTCTATGACAGTATAGAAAAGTGTTGTATTTAGAGTTTTTCAGGTAATTTTTATATTTTTCTCTCCATAAGAACCATCCTCGTACTTCAAGGAATATTCTAAAAAATAATTAGCGAAATCGGTTCAGCTGTTCTCAAGATTTGCGCTTAGCAACATACTCAGCGAATCATTTTTATATTATAGATTATAATTTCAATCAACTGATTTCATAGTACCTACCGAAAACCCTAGTTAAAAAAGTAAAGAATTACTCTCGCTAATCGCTACTCTGCTGTTCATACAAATATTTTACCATTTAAAAATCTAGCACACTGTAATCTAAAAATATGTTACATATTCACACTGAGTTCATACTTACGTCTCTTATCCGGTGTACTAAAAACCACCATTCTAAATATTTTCAATTTTACAAACCTACATTTTGTACCTACCTTCACATAATGTTTCCTTTGTATTTTGTACCCGTACCCATTCTATGAATTTAATGTTACTAACGTTATACTATTACGTAAAAAGTTTAAAATTAAAATATAAAATTATTTAACACGATAAGTTTTAGTTGCACATTTTTTTTTTGTTTTGTATCTTTATTGTGCGACTGTCTTCATCTGACTGTTCAATTATAAAAAATATGATTTAACTTTAGAAACAAAATCACGAAAATGTGTTGTTTAGAATATTGTAAAAGCCTGTACATTTGTAAAGCTTACTTTTTTATACCACGTTGGCGGCAAAAGAGCGTATAACATATATATAATAAAAGTCTTGTACGTATCAGAACCATAAATGTACCAAGAAACTTCTGCGCTTTGGGCGGCTAGAAAATGTACCAAATGAAAACCCAAACGCAAATAATAAAGTTGCCATGTAGCCCTGACATGGATTAGGCCACTCCTTCCTTTCCCATGGATCTCGTAATAGGCGACTAAGGAAACTTTTTTATAGGGAAATAGGTAGCAGAATCTCTCTTAAAATATCACCAAAGCTTAACTGCAGCTGCCAACATGCCTGCCATGAGGAACGGCCCCGTTCTTTATGACAGTCTATGGGGGAAGCCTATGTTCAGCTGTGGATGGATAACGGCTAATATGCCAATTCTATTGCTAGAAATATTCTGGCAGTGTGTAGCAGTGTTTGTGTTAGAAGTTCCGAAAGTAACCCCATGATTATATAAATACTATAGGGGGAAGGGAATGGTAAGTAATGTACACTACCAGTCCCAGTGCTAGCAATATAGTGTATATTACTCGTCAGGTCGACCTCCACGTGGTCCTTCCTGGAAACCATCGTGCTGAATTCCAAGTGTATTCTTCACGATGGGCTTGACTTGCCTCTTCATACCGTTATCGCAGGCGAAGTTACCATTCCATTATCATAAAAAGCCTAATATGACGATGATAATGAAATAATAAAGTTCCACTTACTTTACCATGAAAAGGATGTAAATGCTACGTAGGAATGTCTATCGGATTTAAAATAGACGGTTTATTTCTGATTCAGACAAATTAAATGCTAGAGTTTACTACTGTTTTCTATTTACACACCGGTAAAGTATAAATAAAAGCTTTCACATGACCGTTTTTTTTTTTATTTTCTTTTAATAACTAATTGCAACATCGCCTGGTCAGGTTAGCGAACTAAATTATTCAATCAATGTATATGAATTAAGTTAAAGTTTTTTTATTTTTCAAATGGATCTTTGGATACAAAAGGAAAAAAAAATTTGATTGCATTTATATTATTTTAGATAAAAGTAAAGATACGAGTATACCAGTATATATTTTTTTTTACAAGTAGGCATTAAACACAAAATAAAAATGGTATAATCATTTTCCTTTGATAATAACGAAAATTGAAAATTGGCAATGACATTAGATTAGTTATTTTTTTATGAACTATACCTACATTAGTTTCGAATGAACTAGAGAAATACAAAAGGAAAATAGGCACCTAAATCGATGGGTAGATGTTTGTAGAGGCTTCTCTAAGCGGACGTACGTCGACCAAAATAAGTGACGTGCTAAAAAAAGGCCATAAAAAAGCACTGGCAACCAGCAAACTTGTATGAATAGATTGATGAATGTGGAGGAAACGAAAGAGGTCTCATTGAATCAGAGTATTTGACGTAGATATATGTATACATTCTTACTATAATATTAATGTGAAAGTGAGTTTGTTTATTTGGCACATAGAAGGTAATAACGAAGGACAAAGTAGTTATACAGTGTATTATTATAAAATATACAACGTGATGAATAACTTAGATAAGTGGATGATAAAGTAATCAGTGAATTTTGTATTTTGGAAAACAAACGCCAAATTTCATGAAAATCTAGCACATTTTGTATGTTACAATTCGCTGTGTGGTCCCAGCATAGAATGGGCTACCCTTTCCTTTCCCATGGGTGTCGTAAATGGCAACAAAGGGAACTTAATACTCAAGGAATGGGCAGAAGCGTCCTTTTTGCAGTATCATCAAACCTAACTGCGGTTGCCAACCCGGCTGCCAAGCGTGGCTACTACTGACAAAACCTCCTCTATAGAGAAAGACCTATGTTCAGCAGTGGACTGTTAATGGCTGATTTGGTGTGGTATACCATAACATTTAAAAAGGTATTAACTAAATAAATAAGGTAAAAGTATTAAATAAGGTAGTACCATTACGCTTCTAAATTACGCATCAGGAGAATGTTTAAAACATAATTCAGAAATAAAGCAACATATTGAATAATCGTAACATTAAAATATGGACTACAAGGAATTTACTTCTATTATTACAAAAAAAATATAATACAAATTTGTTTACAATTGGTAAAAATATCACGGGAGCCTACTTCTTACTGAAAGCCTTTACAAAAGCATCAAATATTACTTTTAATATTACATAAACAGTATATAACCTTTCTTCAGGCAAGAATCAAGCATGATATTTCGCTTAAAATATTATAAACCCAGCTCAGGTACCAAATAATGAGAAAGATGTCAAGCAGTGAGATATTGATAGGTTGCCATGATATAAGACCATGATAAAAATTGAAAATTGATTGTATAATTTATTTCACTTAATTTGCGATCATATACTGAGACTCAGCGTCATCCGATACATTTTGATCCTTAGAATCCTTAAAAGTTTAGGTTGAGCGAAATAAATTTATGATTTTTAAATAATAAATGCCACTTCAGCCATGAGACAAAATTAATATAAGAAATTTGTGTAAGTAAATTTTAACAATTGCTAAAAAAGAAACTTATCAATATCAATTCAGAATTAGTGAAGATATTATACAAAATTAAATAAAGAAAAATTTTAAACTTCTACTATTTCGAAATTGCTCTATATAATATCTCTTAAACTCATGAACTATAGAGCTATTTAACATTGTTATTTTTTCTGATTTCTGTTGTAGATTTTACTGAAGCTTAACCTCCTTTGAAAACTGTAGACTGTACCCTAATGCTACTTTCATAGTGTCCTAATCTTGCGGTAGGTAAGTAAAGTTGTAAGAGCATTTTAGATAGGGATCGCTGAAAATTCGTCACTAAGGATACTAGTGTATTTTTTGCTACATTAAAAAAGAGGTTAATTTTTTGTATTTTGTAATAATTAATAATATAATAAATAATTAATATAATTTATATCATATATTATATTATTATATGTTATTAATGTAACAATTAATATCTTAATTTAATTTAAATAGTTTATTCTTTACTCACGTCGACATTTTTTTTTCTAAATTGAAGCAGATTTTTTGAGGTATGAGGTATATCATAAACACTTTCTTTAAAATTATTAATTGCTTTAAATAAAGTGTGCTCTTTACATACAATATTAATATAATTTTCAATATTTATCGTCGCATAATTAATAACATTTCTGTGTTTCCAAAAGTTGAGTAGGAAAGAATGCATTATCTTTTTTGTACCAAACATTTTTTTTATAATATGAGCAATAATGGAATGGAATGGAATAAATAATATGTACTTGTATTTATAGGTATTTAAATATTGCTTAACAATTGTCTAATATCGTCACTTTCGTTTCTTTACAGAATAAAAAATTTAATAACACATCTAACTTTGACACGTGGCATATATAATATTTATATTATAGTTTCAGGTGGCTTATATGTTATTTTTTTACATTTTCAATGACGTTTTCAAAAATAATTATTGGAATATTTCTCTTTTGTTTCAGATTTAACGCATCCCGTTTGTGAAGTATTGAATAAGTTCAAATAAGTGTAGTGATTAAAAATATTTTTCCAAAGAAGACTTTCATACTATCTTTTTTCCAAAGGTAAGATTTTTTTTATATCCGCTTATAAATTCTTTACCTTAGTATTAATATTATATATTTTATCAAGGGACTGTTTATGTCAGCTATTAGTAAATATATTATAAATACTTATAAAGTTTAAACAACCCTTCCAATAAATGCTTAGAGTGACCTTTCAAAATTTCAAGATTCAACCTTTCAACCTCAGATCCGTTATCGCGGCTCACCATGGCAACCAACCATAAACAAAAGTCTATTGTTAACAATATAATTGTCAGCGAGATAAGACCATAGATATCTCTATATAGCGACTCTGCCCTAGTTTACACCGTACGTTCCAAGAGCGTTGTATTATACAATGGTACTGTCTTAACTAAATGGTATTTTAAACATTATGCTTATTTGCAATGGGTTTGCATCCAAATATGTGAATATTAATGGAGAAACGAGAATCTCTCCAATTCTTGTTAACATTTGAAAACACAAAAGAATACATTTGATCAATTTTCAAGTCAAATATACGTAAAATATTATGTAATAACAGCAAGAATTTATAACATAATATTGCCGAATAATTTTGAAGATTCCAATTATGCGCTTGAAAAATATTTTTTCCAATATATATTTTTTTTAATCATTATATTTTTATGCAACTTGAAATTACAAATACCTATTATTAGACGACGACGAGATTATTAGACGAAATACCTATTGAGAGACGGGCTTCGAAAAATTCTGTGACATTGCAACCTTTCCATAATCTTTTGTACTCCCCTTTTTCTTAAAGTTCGCTGCTAATTCCTATCAATGATAGGAATTTTATAATGTTCTTTGTAACGATGTATTTTATCTCCTCAATATATAAAGTGTATTTTCCAAAGGAGATACATCGTTTATATATAGGTAGGTTATAGCCACAAATTAAGTGCTGCGGCGATTCTTCCTCATTGTGACAAAATCTGCAAACACTTTTTGGGCATAATCCTAGTTGGGCCATGTACTTGTTTAATTTGCAATGTCCAATGAAAACCCTCGTTAATACACATATATTATTTTTACTCAGATGAATTAATTTTTTAGAATAATTTTCTGATAACTCCTTAGTCAGAGTTTCACGCAGCAACTATAGACAGTTAACGGGCTCCCTTATGAAATAATAGCCGTCACTTACAGACTTGAACTTTGTTGTAAAAATCACAAAATGCACTATAACGCTCACCATAAATATTAACATTCAACCCCTTGTAGTTACTGTTCTTGAGGACTATGATAGATATTGATATCTACATACCCTTTAATTTCACTGCCATGTCTCACCCTCTAACAAAGTGTGACACAGCCATATAAAAACAACTGAAACTTGAGTATGACAGAAGTACCCTAACTGTACTAGGGGAAAGGAACTAACAGTTCCAAAGTTAACAAGCATCATTGCTAGCAATATACTTCATTAGATAAACTGCCACGCGGTTCTCTCTGGAACCTATCATGGATAATTCTTGGATTAATCACGATTATCTAACTGAACTGCTTTCATTCTCACCTATCATTTTTCCTTAGTGGCTTGCCAGTATATACCAATAGCGCAGGCGGTGTTACCGTTCCATTTTTACCTATAAAAAAAAACACACTATACTAACAATACTAAAAGAAATAAATATTAAAAGTAATCCTTCTGAATGACCACTAACTGCAACTATAGTTTGAGCTTCATCAATAACAGACACTGCCTTTGAATATTAACACATAAATATACGGACGGAAACAAACAAATATGTCACAGATGTTTGTTCAACGTCCAATATTCGGGACTCCACTATAATGACAATCGTTCATAAAATATAGAAAGAGGAAAAACAAGAGCAGCAATTGAGTGAGTAAATCTGAACGCTTCCGTATTTCTGAGTGATAACAATTTGACAGTGGTGTGTGACCAGAAAGGGTAATTGCTATTTGGAATTCTGTTCCATATTTGGTCTACGATCACAAAGTATATTACCTAATTCTGTACTACGATGCTGTGCTATATTATTTTACTGCATTATACTACTATTTTATAGTACTGGCCACTAAGAAAATTGTAAGTACTGGCCGGTAACAATTTGTTCCATTTATTTTTTTTATTAATAAATCAGTATTCAGCCAACTTACTTGCGTTTCACTACAAATGCTTCGTTTCTACACTGTCATATATTTATGTATAATTTATTATATAGTATAACTACATCTTTGTATTCACTTTCGAAGCCAAGAAGAAATACTATGGTATTAAAAATAAGTGAATTATTAATAAATAAAAAACTAAAATGTACAAAAAATAAATTCATTTTAATAAAAATACAAGAGTAAAAGCTAATGTTGGAATTCTCTCTCTTTTCATTTAATAGTTTACTCTTATCGGTGCAACTAATTCCTGCATTTTCTTCCAGCAATCTCTATCCCATGTCATCTTGGGCGTTGTCTTTCCTCTTCTTCTTTCACTTTGGAAATAATTTAACTAATTTTGTTCATACTTTACGACGTTTTCGCTTAACAATCTCAAAAACAAATTTACTGGTTAGTTGATTTGAATTATTTTATTTCATTCCGCTAGCATTAGTATGCGTGTGACTACCAACACTCGAAGATTGACCACTATTACTATTAGAAGTTTTACAACTTTCCATCAATTAGCTATCAATTTCTGACTGCCATTTGCGACATATGATTAACGGTTAACACTAGATTCCGTAACGATCTAATAATGTGCCTTAAAATGCTTCGTTTAAAGGTGAAGTCCAAGTAAGGTTTCATATGAAAGAACTTCGTTTTTATATTTTAATAATTTTTTTTTTTATTTTTATGATACATTTTTCATTCATGATTGAAAATGTGAAAAAAAAATTATTAAATTCATTATCTCCGAAATTTCTGAAGCAAAAATTTAGAATAACTTAGATATATATAAAATTAAAACAAATTCGAGTAGTTCATAATGGTATAAGTGAATATTATAGGAAAAATAAAATGATGTTTCTAACTAGCACCGATATTGATAAATTATCAAAAAGCCTCGAAAATAAAAAAAATATATAATATTATAATATTAATATCGATAATATGAACTATTAGACGTCTATTCAGTAACAAAAATACTGTTAAGGTTATTTTATCTTATAATTATATATTTATATACAGAACCCCCGGCGTGTTAGTTCAACTCATACCTGACAGATTTTTTTAATCGAATACACATACAGCTAGGTAACCTACCTAAAATATCCAAAGAACAATTCAAATATTTTAGTAACACCTAATTGATAATATAAATGAGCGATCAATAAAGATGTAGTATTTTCAATTTGTTATTTCAATAAAAAGCTCTATGTTAAAATACATATAAAAATTTCAACACAATACTTTTTAATGATAAGCATGATTTTAAAAAGTATATTTCATTGTTACGTCTAAGAGCTTACATGCAATAAATGCTTTTACCAATACTTCTTTTTAAAGCCACCATTACGTCAAATTGAAAGATTACATGTAATTTAATGTTAAGTACATTAAATTACATGAAGTCTTTTAAACAGATATCTATATTACTCTTCTTTTTGTATTCTAAGAAAAAAATAATGTTTTAAGAACATTAGAAATCGCATGAAGAAAAATATATTATTACAATCTATTACGTAACTTTTTTTATGTATTCTGATATTATAAAAAGAACAGTTTTTTGTTTGACTTTTTTGTATATTTGTTTACCTACCTACTGTTTTAATCTACATCGAGTAAAGTTTACATCGAGCACTGCTTATCCTTCTATTATAATATACTTGTAACTAAACGATATCTGTACATGGAAGATATTTAAAAAAAATATGTAAGTGACTTTAATAAGAGCAATAGAAGTGAAAACAGTATTTTTTAGAAATTTCAACTGTCTATCTCTCTGTATGTTCGTTTCGGCATCACGCAAAAACTTAAATTGTAAGCGGTTTTCTCTATTGCATTTTTGAAGGTCTAACTTAAAATCTGGTGTATGTTTTATTTTGATACGCCATCTATTTCATTAAAATTGGCTTTCCTATTTCTGAAATCCACTCGTACAAAGTAGCTGACAAAAGGCTATTAAGAATAATGGTATAAAGAGAAAAAAGTTTCGAAAATTATTACTTTTCATGTCATAATAGCGTTCCGTTACTCAGTATATTTTCTTTTGTGCAGGTATACACAGTATGCACGAATAAAAATTGTCGTAACAGCAATTAACTCATGAAATAGGAGCTCCACAGACAATGAAAAACATTCCGAATAAAGCCAAAACTATGTTATTCTGGATATAACACGATCACGAATAGAATTTGTTTCAAGAATTAATTGTCCGTAAATTTAGGTTAGGACGCGGAATTATATCTAAGCTGGATTACAGAATAAAAAACGAATATGATATAAAATCACCAGAGGGAGACTTTGTACAAAAGTCGTTTGCTTGTGCACCTCTGTCCTATTCATGTTTCAACCATGAAGCAGTTGTGTTTGCATGGCTATGTTTCAGTTTGAAGGGTGGGACATGGCGTGAATATACTGGGTACGGAGGAATAACACCTGAGTCCTCAGGAATGGCAACGCATGGGGGAAACAGTATACTCTGTTATATCCATGGTACTACTCATGTCTATAGTCGACGGTTACCACTTTCCATTTGGTGGGTCGTCAGTTTGTTTGCAATTCTAAGTTGCATAAAAAAATCTAAGTAAACAATCCTTACTAATATCAAAATTGAATTTGTTTGTTAACTTATAGCGTCTTAACGGCGTAATCAGTCACTATGAAGTTTAGTATATAAGAATATATGGGATAGAGAAGGATATACGAGTATATCCTTCTCTATCCCATATACTAGCTACTTTTTAAACCGGACACTAAACATGTCCAGGTCACGCGATCGAAGACGCGGGTAAAAGCTAGTACGATTTATTCTAATGTTGTTATAAGCGACTACCTATAAAAGCATCCACAATTGGTTTATATTTTTTGTA